AACATCATCCCTTAATTTATATTTACACAAAACGGACAACATCAATTTCATCCCTCAAAGGGATAAAGTGTTCAGTCTTGACATCCTTCATCAGAACATCTGCAAGTTGCTTCTGTTTGCTACCGTGTGCAACTTCTAATACTTCATTTGGAAGTGCATATTTCTCCTTGAGAACCCATCTAACGCTGATGTTTTTCTTCTCCTTCGGAAGCTTAGTTAACTCCCAAGTCTTATTTCTTTCAATAGCATCAAGCTATTCTTTCATGGCCTTAGGCCACACTTTCTTCTTGAGAGCTTCACAGGATGACAACGCAACCACCAGTTTCTTCTTAGAGCACCATGAAATAAGACTTTCCAAATACAAACAAAAAATCCAGAAGTATTTCTTCTATCAATTTTGTCTTCATACAAATCAGAGTCAGAATAGCATATCATCTTTGCATCTGATCTAACACCAGAAGGGTATAACACTACATACCTCAAAGTTCGTTCAGTATCTTGCAGCTTGTCAAACTCTACAAATCTCCTTGGTATATTTCTGACTCTATGTGGCCTCTGAACTTGTTCAGAATCTCCTTCTAGTTCTAGAATAATATCTTATTCTAGACTTTCTTCAGAAGTTTGACTACCACCAAAAGCTCCGCCTTTTTTAACTTAAGGACCTCGTTCAGAATCATTACCTTCAGAAATACCATCTTCAAAAGTTGGATCACCTTTAGAAGCTATGCTTTTAAAAATACTACTTTCAGAATCGTAATCACCGTCAAAGGCTGGATTTCCTTCAGAAGCTCCTCCTTCAGAAGGTCCATCCTTAGAGTCATGATTTCCACCAGAAACATGATCATCTTCAGAAGGTTGTCCTCCAGAACCTATGTCTTCAGAGTTTTCACTTCTAGAAGCATGATCATCACTAGATTCTGGATCATCATCAAAATCTGGATCAGAATCAGATTCACCATTTGACTCATCTTTAGAGTCTCCAAAAGATTCTTCATCTTCTGACTCTAGCTCTTCTTCAGAACTTTCAAGTTCTAACTCATCTTCAGAAATCTCATATTCTGACTCATCTTCAAAATCTTCAGTGTGATCTTCTGATTGTGACTCATATTCAAACACTCCTTCAAAGCCAAAATATTCAGAGTCATCTTCATCCCCTTCAGAATCAGAAAATGACAATCTCACAGGTTCCTCATCAGATTCATAAGCCATTAACAACACAGGTTCATCATCTGAACCTCCTCTGGCTATGTTTGCTTCTTCTTTATTTGATCAACAATCTTCAGTAAAGTGGCCAAACCTATTACAACAGTAACATTGAATCATTCTCTTCTCATACTTCTCATTTCCCTTCTGATGTTTATTTTCATCAGAATATAATACTTCTTACTTTTGGAAACTACCATATTTTTTCTGCTTCTAATCTTTCTTGACAAAAGAAGCTTTAAGAGCCTACTCAACTTCCCTCTCAGAAGTTCTTTCAGTCATACGCAACTCTTGTGCCTCTAGACTGCTTTGCAGCTCTTCTATTCTCATGGTTTTTAGATCTTTATAATATTCAATTGCTACCACAATGTAATCAAATTGAGAAGTTAAAGATCTCAATACCTTCTCTATGATTACTTGTTCAGAAATGGTTTCTCCACAAGTTTTCATCTCATTAGTGATCATAATCACTCTAGAGATGTACTCAGAAACCTTCTCATTGTCCTTCATGTTGAGATTCTCATATTGCTTTCTTAGGGACTAAAGCTTCACCTTCTTCACTGATGTGTCACCATCATAACATCTGACTAGTGTGTCCCATGAAGCCTTTGCTATTTCAGAGTAAATAATCTTCTCAAACACATTCGCATCCATACATTGATGGATGTAGAACAATGCTTTCTAATATTTCTTCCTTATTACATTTTGTGCCTCTGTTGTGTCTGCTGCTAATGAAGTATAGTCATCGGTGACAAGATCTAACACATCTTGAGAATCTAACAATGCACGTATCTGGATCTTCCAACAATTCCAGTTTTTACCATCAAACACTAGAAGCTTGTAACTGATATCACGGTTTCTGTTCATCTTCAACCTTGTGCAGTTCACTCAAAAATCACTAACACACAGTGTTTCCTAAATCCCACAGAATAAAAAAATGTGATTCTCAATCACACAACACCTCACTGTTCACTCGTGTTTCCCGTGTTTCTCGTGGATTTCGAACCGGAGCTCTAGATACCAATTATTGGTGCACAAAGGAGAGATGAAAGACAAAAGGAATATATTAAATGAAGGCTACAAATATAAGGATTAATGGATATATTGACCTACCTACTACTAGAATATTTATACACAATATTAGAGTATAATAAAATATTAAAATACTCTCTAATAAACTTAGTCAACAAGACATTTCTAAAATACTAATTCTTTCTAACAAGTAGAAAGAGGGAAACTGAAAAAAGGAAAAAATATTAGATCTTTACAATATGGGAATGATTATCATAAATATAAAAACCAACTACCCTCAAAACAATAACAAACAATAACAATCTGATGAATAAAAAAAAGTTATCAATACCTCAAGCAACTGAAACAACTGGAGCAATGGAGAATGTTTAAACACCTCACATGAGCAAAACATAGAGATGAAAGCGGATACATTTTAGAAGAAAAACAACCAAAGGAAGATAATGAATCAAAGGATAGTAAACCTCGCCCAAACAGGAAAAACATATATAGCAAAGAAGAAAGCTCAATCACAACACAAACTAAGATTATTGACAAAAAGAAGAATAATGACCAAGACATCAAAAATCCAAATAAAACGCATAAAACAAAAGGGATCTACAATAAAAAAAAAGAAGAAAAATTACATGAGATCCTCAAATGGATAGAAACTCCACATCTGTCCTCAACAAAAGTTTGAGCATTTCATTTGCGACATGTAGAACAAAAACTTGAAAAACTTAATCATCCATCAAGAAATTCATACTAACATTATGCAAAAGGTTAATAATCAAACAAATATTTCCTGCGAAAAGGATAGACTTATAATCCATATAAATGCAAATATGGAGATTGAAGATGAGCGAAATATGTGAGTTATATGCAATAACGACCATGAGAATGTCTAGCGAATGATACTTGGAAGCAGAAAGGTTACCTATATCTGATCGCAGCTGAGGATCAAGCTATCTTTGGAAGTATCCAAACAGATGAAAGCTAAAGAGCTTATGGTGTTTACAGACTGTAAATGTATTGTTGATAAAGTGGATATGAAGAATGATAAGAACAGAGTTTCTGAAAATTAAACGACTAACGACAAGAGAGAATATAGGTAACGCATAGGAAAAGTTCTCAATTATATATATCAACCCTAAAAGGTTTCAATAGATCCATCATCCATTTCAAAAGAGATAGGAATATGTTAGCCCATTAGCAGACTCAACACTACTACAAATAATATATTTCATGACGAAGCTTTCACCTCAGCGAGAAAAAAAAAGAGGTATTATGCTAAGGTGCGCCATGTTTTATTTTTTTTATAAAAATAAAAACAACATATTCCCTTGATTTTTAATAAAAACGAAGAAAAAATAAATCAGGACACACTTTGAACCTCAGCTTTTGTAGTTCATGTTTTTATTTGTTTATTATTGTAAACTAAACGATCTAATCCTTCAGTTTTTCGATATAACCGAGGGATCCAATAATCAGATTTCACTATAAAAGCACTTGTTAGACAAATTTTACCCTAATATTTACTTATATGAAGCTGCCCCAAACTCACATGCATCATTCTTTGGGATGGATTGCAAGACAAAAAAAATATTTAATGTTTTTCTATCTAGAACAAAATATTTTTTATGTCCTTGAAATCTATCTCACATAAGTGTTGATGTTGTTGTTGTATTTTTGCTCATTTAATAGATTGCAATTGCAAAAATTAATCTGGCTTGAAGTTACGCAAAGAAGGGAGCTCAACCCTTGAAAAGTTAATTAGAGAAGGGAACTTAACTGATCGCAAGATGGATATCAATGAAGATATTCATTAATAAAAGCAAATATTTGTTGCAAGCAATTTATTTTAATATTCTGTATAAATAATGTCATTACAAAAAAATAGTGTTTCACTTCGGCTTTTTGTAATAACTGAGGTGATAGTTAAAATAAGAAGATAATGTACCTCGATTTTCTTATAAGATTGAGGGGTATCTTAATCATATTGTACTATAAATACTCTCGTTAAACAGATTTTACCTTAATACTAACTTATATGTATCCGCGCCAAATAGAAGAAATATTTACAAATGTCCATTTCATGAGTTGCTACTACAAAAAATCTTTTGGGGTATAATTTTTATGAAATTGTTTGATCTAGAAACGCTTAAGAACTTGAGAAACAAATATATCTAGGATGGATTGCAAGTAGAGAAAATAAAAATTCTCATGGTGAGAACAAATAACTTTTCAGAAGTTGGATAAATTATAGAGTATTTTCTGGAGATGCAACATAAAGGTATGCAACAAAATTTGAATTCCATCAAAGATTTATTATAAACAGTGTATTTTAATATTATGTGTAAACAATGTAATAGGAGAAAAAAACTTATTCACCTCAGTGATTTTTTTTAAGCGAGATATATGTTAAGCGTTTTTTAGGATTTTCACTGGCCTTAATCAAATCTTTATCGTCCATTTAATGATTATCGATGATCAAGACTCTATCATTATTGATCCGCGTGAAACCTAAGAGACATTCATTATAAAAATGTTGAATACTAATATTTTTAACCTAAATAAATATGAAGCGCTTGAAACTTAAAGATACTTGAAAAAATTCTCGATAATAGATCACAAGAACAACAAATTATCTGTCACGATTTAATATTTTTATTCTTCATCCCATACATTTCATAATTTATTTAAATATTTAAACTCAAAGACTTAATGTATCTCTTTCAGTTACAAAGCATAAGCATAGCACATGATAACACTAATGAACATTAGATTCATATGAGGTGAATGATTTGAATGACGTGTTCAAAAATTTCTCGAGTCAAAGGTTTCTGAGTGTTACCATTAACTCCTGCTTCAAAAAACATTTGTGAATTATGATCACTAAAATTTGACAACATGCCAACTATTTTGCTTTGTATCCCCAGTGCACGCATATCCATCACAAACTAAAAAAATACAATAAAAAACATTTCACTGGTAGATATAATAACAATTGATCTCATATCTAGAAAAGAAGAACGAAAATGTTGATACCTGAGGTCCACTTATTATTGGAAAATCAAAATCAACAAATATGATGTCAAAATTAGCACCAGTCAACAAAAGTTGCATAGCTTCTTGAGCACTATTTGCAGGCTCTGTTCGAATGCCTATTGATTCAAGTATTTGATGCTCCAAATGTCTATTTTCAGCCACACCATCTACTAGCAATGAAGTCATGGGATTAGATGTTTCATATGAATCATGTTTTCTTATTCTCATTTTCGTCTCCTCTGGCTTTCTCAGCCGTTTATATCCAGTTGTTCCTGCACTCATTGTTTGACCAATTGTAATTTCTGGAAAACACACAACAAACAAAATAATTAATATTTATAAAAGATAAATGGGGTGCGAATATGAAATCTAATTTCAAATTTCTAAACGATTTTAGTTTTAAAATTTTTTGTGATGATATTTTTATCACAAGTGAAAATTTGCCTCTAACCTTATAATCTACGAAATTTGTATCTTCTATCAAGGACAAGAAAGTGTTTATAAAGACATTGTACTGAGAAGATATAAATAAAATTAATTTTAAATGTAATACAATAAATATTAAAAAAATATTTAATAAAAATATTTACCAAATATTAACTTAAATTGAAAAAGAGAAAAGTGACATAACTAATTCATATTCTGATGTAACGCGCACTTTGTTATCCTAAAAATTTAATTTGTAATTAATATTCTTAAATAAAATTGGATACTTATATTATTATTTTAATATTTTATTTTATATACATTGAACAATCTGAAAGGAAATAAAATTTAATTTATAAAATGGATTATGTGATGTTGACTATGTTTGGGATAAAACTGAAAGGAAATCCACAAGTGGAAATTGTTAATTTATAGGTGAAAATCTTATATCTTGCGCTAGTAAGAGACAAACAACAATTGTTTTGTCTACAGCAGAAGCAGAATACATTTTAGCTGCAAGTTATTGAGCACAACTACTTTGGATGGAATATAGATTAGAAGACTATCAAATCTGTGGATGCAATATTTCAATCTTTTGAGAAAATACTGATGTTATCTGTTGATAAAGAATCCAATTCAACATTCAAGAACCAAACACATTGAAATAAAACATTATTTTATTAGAGACTATGTTCAGAAAAGTGAGATAGAAATACAATTCATTGATACTAATCATCAATTGGATGATATATTTACCAAGCTTTTGCAATAGAAAGATTTGTTTTTATTAAAAAGAATTTGAACATGCATTTTATACAAGAATAATGCTTACTTCTGAATGGAGGATCAGAGTCTGATGATGATCAGAAGCCACTATGATCAGAGACTCTAAAATAGCTTCTGATGAATAATAGCCTCTAAAGCATCTCAACCAGTATCCGATAAATTGACTCTGATAGCATGTAAATGGAAAATATCTCAACTTATTTTTGACACTTGTCCCACTTATATGTCATGAATACGAAAGGTTTTTTACGTAGGTTTTATCTGTTGAGTAATAACCATTATATAATCATGAATTGTTTTTGAATATTGTGTCTTGTGCCCTCTTTGTCATTAGTTTTTTGTTTTAATCAAAATTGAAAATCTCTTTTAACTCAAAGCACTCAAAATTCAGATTTCATACACTTTCTCACTTTACAACCCACACTTTTGTTCTCAACCTTTCTCATAAAAACAACTCATTTTTCAAAAAAAAAAACTTTAGAACCCTAAACCTCATTTCAATGGAGTCTTCTTCTCAACAAGCTCCCATGGAATTAGATTCTGGAAAGGGTCTTCACATTAGACCTATAAAAATGAAGCTCGGGGATAATTAACTCAAGTTGATTTTGAAGCAAATAGTGGATTTTGAGTATTTTAGAGTAAATGGATATTCTCTGAGAGAGTACTTTAAGCTCAAGGGTGGATGCCTTACTTAAAAATGCTCAATGGACCTACTTAACCCTACCTAGTTAAGGATTTATGGGTTAGGATAGAAGTTTTTGATGAAGTTGTTGTTGCTTCTGAGGTTAGACAAATGATTGTTAAGAACGAAGCAAACAAAGGGAAAACAAGAGTTGAGATGGGATTAAATAAGTTTAAGGAAGTTGAGATTAGGTCTGTAGTGATGGGAGTTGAAGTAACCATCACTCAGAGCCACAATTATTAGCCCATTGGTGTGACAGATGAACAAATGAAAGAAAATGTGTTCATAACATCAAACAAAGCAACAAAAAAGAAAAGTTGATCAAATCAAGTATGTTTATCAACTCTTAAGATTTTGGAAAGGTGAAGAATATGGATATTTCATATAGGCTTCTTTTTAGAAATCTAATTAGATATTTGATTCTCAGGGAAGGTAGTACTGATTAGATTTCATGGGATCACATACACTTTATTTGGTTTCTAGTAAATAGAGTGAAGATCAATATGGATGCATATATATTTAATTATATATGTGAAGCTATCAAAGAAAGCCACAAGAATGATAAGAACTTTGGTCTTTTGGTTGGTGAGTTTCAGATGTTGTGGTTTCTACATGAATGGCTTGAAGTGGTGTGGCTTCTATAAGTTTATCTTCTGGTATGGTTTGAATTGGTGTGGCTTATATAGGTTGAAAGTATAATTCATCAGAATCAGAGCTTGAGCTTGAGGTTTCCATTATATGGTCAGTATCAGCTATGGTGTTTATGGGAATGGGTTGTTATTGGCTAGGAATTTTCGACTGAGGCATGAATAAAGTCGTAAGAGTTTTGAAGTCGAAGAGCTAAGAGAAAGAATGTTGATTATGTTAGACGATAGTGACTTATCTAGAGGGGGGGGGGGGGGGGTTAATAGATCACTAAGCTAAAATACCAATTAAAATTGGAGTTTAAAAAGTTATTTTAAAAAAGCGCAAGCGGAAGATTTTGATATAGATCGATAAAAGCCGTCTATACGAACCTAGTTATTGGAACTCAATTATGCAATCAAGCCTTATGAAATGAATGAATCTATAAGATCAATTTATACACTTGAAATAATCAATAATTATTATTCGTTTATAACAATTCACACGAAATCTATTTTCAATGAAATTAAGCAAAAATAATGAACTATACAATTTGTCAAACACTTGGTGTGCGGTCGAATTTCATAATTTTTCCTTGAGTATTGTTGATATGAAAAATAACTTATAATAAAAGTGATTATAAGCTAATCAACAACCAATTTAAAACCAAAAAATCCATATAAAAATTTGTATGAGTCGATCGATCAATTAATGTTATTCAACAAATTGCTTAATGAAAAATAAAGCGAGTAAGGAGATAAGAGAGAGCGACACGAGGATTTTTTTAGGAAGTTCACTAATCGTCATCACTATGGCTACGTCTACCTCCAATTCTATTTCGAAATAAGGATAATTTCTTACTATGCAAAAAGTTGATTACAAGAGAAGTATTCCAAGAGCAACCCTACAAACCCTAAATGTTTGTTGTTGATTCAACCCCTTCTCTTCCTTTGATATTGAGAAATACCAAGACACAATATCTACCAATTTATTTATCGAATATAACTACTCTTTTGGGTACCAAACTCCAAATCTCTTTCACGCGTGATCAATTGTAACTATTGAACACAAGCACTTTCAATTTGATTTTCCGTTCTCTCTCTACTTCCTTGGGTGCCAAACTCCGAAGGCTTTTCACTTGGTTGCAATCCTCTTTTGAAAGTCTTGTACTAAACCCCCAAACCATCCAAAGATATTGGAGGACAAACCCTAGGTTTTTCTGGATGAAACCCCACACAATTTTCAACCTAATATTTTTGGTTACACAAAAACCTAATTGAATGTTATCAAACCTCGCCTAGATGGCACCCCAACAAAAGATGATTATGTGTGATTTATTAGTTTGTATGCATAGGTTGGAGGTTGAAGATGAAGAGTAATGGTGGTATGTGTTGATAGTTTCTTCAAGTTAAAATGATGCATGAATGATGTATTTATAGTTGGGGAAGTTTGTGTGCAAATAGGTAATGTTTGGAATTAAAAAGAATTGAAAATTTGACTCATTCAAATAGTATTTGTCGGTCTGAAATATGGATGTGTCGACACATAAATCCAAAAATAGCAGTATGTGCCAGCCTATGAGAAACAGATAATACAACCTTTAATATTGAAACAAATGTGTTGGCATGAAAATTGTATATGCCGGCACATTAAACTGAAACATATAGTATGTGTCGGCTTGAAAGATGTATGTGTCGGCCTATGTAAAACATAAGCTACAGTCTTCATTTTTTAGTTATATATGTCGGTCTAAAAGTCATATGTGTTGGCACATGCAAATGATTTTTGTGTAGAAAATGAATTTTGATGTTTTTGGCCCATTTCAATGTGGTTTTAAATGATTCCTACGACCTCTAATGCAAGGGTGCACCATATGAAATAGAAATACCGTCCAATATATAGAAATCCTAAATTTTCCTAGTTTTGACATCATACAAAACATCTAATGGTGAAGTTACTCTCACATACTCCCCCTTTTTTATGATGGAAAAACTTGCGACGAGGCATTTCATGTTGTTATCGAAAGCTCCCCCAGACTTTGTGCTTCCCAATTTTATCTCGTATATGCTTCTCCCCCTTTGACAATATCAAAAAGAAATATAGAAAATTGTGAGAAGTATCATATTCCACCGCAAATACTAATATATCACTCATAGGCATTTTTGCATATTAGAGCAACAATTACATATCCCTATATATACGTAATGATGCAAAATTGATAAATAACAAGCATAAAGCATTACCAAACATGTAACACAATTGAATGAAGAATACTAAATGTGATGCAAGAGCAAACTAATCAAGTTGCTTCTATAATGTCACGATTATGTAACACATCATAATGGAACCTCCAATGTCGCACACACATGTTCCTAGTATAGCGGCAAAAATTGTCACTACTCAATCCAAAATGAAAATATTGTCATAATTTGTGACCCAAACACAACAAGAAAATTATATTCAATTAATATGCTTACATTCAACTCATGCACAAATGCAAGGAATAATAATAGAAAAACATGCTTGTACACACAAGAACAAACTTATACAAATGAGAAATAATTAATACATGAAGTCATTATAAACATATACATTGAGAATACACAATGGTTGTTAATCAAAAATTTTTAAAATGAACATTCATGGTTTTCATCATTTGAGAACACAGTAAGCATTTTTAACCAACTAATAACAGATTAAGAAAATTCTTACTTTCAGGGAGAAACTTGAAACAACATTACCTCACTCTTGATGAAATGGAAGT